ATTTCTTATTTCTCAGAGTAATTATGTAGGTTTTTTGGAGGTCAGCGTAGTGTTGTTGCATTTGCAGAGAAAGAGGACTTTGTATGAAATTGAAGAGAAATGAGGGAATAAGAACGTTTCCTAATTTTTTATCAAACCGATAAACTTTGATGTAACGGTCTAAGTGGAAAATAGGCGGGGATTAGGGTAGTTGGAGGGGCGTCGGATGGATCAATGGCGATAATACTTTACCGCAAGTGTAGACCTTTATGAAATCAAGGTATTACTATGTTTATTCTCTTAGAGGGGAAAGTGTTTTATCAATGCGGAGAAGCTGTTGGTAGGTGAAAGACATACGCTGGCCTGTCAAGAAAAATTTGTTTTGGAATTGAAAGGTTGCCGGAGGGTGGTTTCGACTATAGTCGCTTTATCATCAGGAGAATGTAACCGAATTAGCGCGTGATAAGCTGAGAGTGAAATTAATCGTATGTAAGAGTCAGCAAAGACTCTAGATGATTGCTTTCCGATGATGTTAGTTTCGCTGACCTTTTTTTAAGAAACAAGGAGCGACATTGTAGGGGGCGTTTGTAGCAAGGAAACTTCGCAATCCACCTCGTGATGTACGTCTAACGCAGAAATTATCTCCTAACCTTGGTTTACTATTCGCTGATAGGAGAAGTCCTTCTTATGAAACTTCCTACAATACTTCTTTTAAAGAGTTTTTCTCTTGCATTTTTGAGACAAGAATGTCATGGCCACCGTTAGACTCCAACTATAATAGATGAAGGAGTTCGTGTAAACTCCTTTATCATCTTGTACATAGCGATATGCGAGACTTTTTTCCACACTGATGACGAAGAACTATATCAAAGGACACAATCTTAGAGCATCCGCTGCAGAATATTTCTTTCGTAACAAGTGATTTATGCTGTACTCATCAGTAACGGCACAGGATCGTTTGCAGGTATAAGTCAATGCAAAGATAGACATTCTGAGCAAACACTATTTTGGTCAGGCAGATGTTTCCCTACTTTTACATATTAGTGAGATGGAACCAAATGAAATATATGGAAAAATTAATAAATCAAGCTCATCAAAAATAACAATATTATACGTAATTTCAAAGAGGATATGGCATTATAAAAACATGATAAATGTTACAGATTTGCATTTACACCTAACCTCCTGCGCCACTACTGTGTCGTTCCAAAACAGTAACTTCTGCAAATCCTGGTATAAAGAATTTTCGCAGTAATATGGCGTCATTTTGATCACAACATATTCATTGTATGATCTTGCCTTGTTAATAAGTCGTGTTCACCTTATTAGCCGAATTGGAATTTACGGTTTAATCACAAAAAGGCATCACCTTGATGTGGTATCGTTTCCACAGTTGTCCGCAAAAAATGAGAGTGAGTTCCTGATAGTATCTGTATCTATCTTTTGGAAAGGAGTGAGATTGTTGTTCTACAGTAAATACATCGTGGCGTTTTTTTTTCGTTCTGTACAAAATTAAAAGCTTCTCTATGTTGCTATAAAGAATAGAAAACTGAAGCTTAACAGCATTTTTTCCAGAAACAACCAGAAGTCTTATACTGGTGATATCAATTTTCTTGTGCTGCTATCCATCACGGATAGTTCTGTGATAATGCGTGATACAATGCATGGATTCGCGGATGTAGCATTCAACTGATATTTGCAGTGCGGCTGTATTCAAGCGGCATCAGACGCGATAGTCCGATAATAGGAGAAGTTCCTCAAACTCATTAGTATGATTTCTGCTGCACCTCAGAGATTTTGCCTAGCACTTCGAATTAACTAAACTATTGTATGATGTTGATTGTAGGCAAAATTTTTTTGTTTGGTTATTTGCCGAGGGTTTTTGTTGCAACTCTTCGGCGTCTCTCCACTTTGTACCGATT